TAACTTATACCTAAATATTTGTTGTAATCCAGCCCACCCTTGATCAGTCAACAGTTATGTTTGCATAAATCAAAAACCATTGATTGTAATTGTCATCGTGTTTACATTCACTACAGAATCTATATACAATCAATGTAGTCATAGAGGTCATGTGACGGAGCAGAGTGTAGATTTTTAATCATTTCCCGCCGGCCACAATACATCTGTGTAACTGTATAAATTAATAATTATTATATGATTATCTTTGTTATTATTATTACAGTATTATTATTAGGCGGCTATTATGATAACTAACCACAACTACTACTACTGCAGCTACTGCAGGCCTCCCTCTAATTTAAGACCACTTCCAATTAAAGACCACTTTTCTTTGGTCCCATATTAACAAATGTATTTTACCTTTATTTTCTGATTAAAGCCCAAGGCAGCCGAAGGCAATGGAAACCTCGGTCCCAAAAGTAGTCTTGTACGTGATTATTATTTTTCATTTTATTATTTTTATCTTTTTATCATCATCATTGTTATCATCAATCTTATTATTTAAATCGTTTATTATCTTGGTAACCCATTGTACTCGTTCCGGTTAATTTCCTTTGTACACTCGTTCGTTCAGTACAGTATTCATTATTTCCATGGTATATTTTTGTGTTTAGTAATGCATAGGTATATACCCTGACTTATAATTCGATTACCATGCTATAAATCATACCAGCTTCTTTACCATTAGGTCTATTCCCCGAATGCTACAAACTACTGTATTTTTCATTAATTTATTCATATGCTTTCTGCTTATTTGCTTATCCCAGTTGGATACAAATTATGCTAAGTTTACAACATAATGTAATTGTTTTTTGTTCGTGATTTTTTGTAAATAGTAAAAAACTACATGATCGAAATAATGAATATGAAACTTCAGAAACACTACATTTGATCATTACCAAATTTGCCATTCGCGAAGTCTGTATTCTTTTAGCTGATGCTGGTTTAAAGAATGACCAAACTCGAAGTCTCGTCTTTGCTTACATTTAGCTCTTCAAGAATAACATACATCGAGTTGAGTTCATTTGAGATACTGTAGTTTTGAATGTCAGCACATATGTTTATATAATTTTATTCTTGAATAATTAAGAATTGTTTGTAGTCGATACGATTTTATCAATTAGGCATAAGTGAATTTATACTATGCAAGATCAATTGCGTCAGATTTTGTTGTCTCCATTTGATTTAGGCATATGTAAATAATAATAATAATAATAATAATAATAATAATAATAATAATAATAATAACAATAATAATAATAAATATGAATACTTGAAATTATAAGCATTTATTGTGGCTAGTAGCAGTCTGTAAGGTGATCAACGCTATTTATATCTAACTTGAAGCAACATTCGTGATTGTACAATAGTTAGGCCTTAGGCCATACTGGCGTATTAGATACACACTCTTTAGACAAATGTGTGCGTCAAACCGATACTTAAGACTCGCAATTATACTCTTGCAGTTTAGTTGAGAATTGAATCATGGCGCTGAAGTCTGTTCGGATCTTGTCTATGTGTTCAAAGACTTACGGTAAGCCTAAATCCCGTTTGGGGCTACTACAACCCCCTCGGCCCACCCCAGTAATTGTATCCCCTGAATATGTGAACGTCAAGATACTTTCTCTTGCCTAACATTTTTTTCTAATTAAACCCACTCGAGTCAGTGGCGTAACATCAGGCACTATGGGTTCTGACTAGCTATAAAGCCATGGAAGCCTCAGACCTCAAGGGGCCCAGAAAGTTCACTATAGCATTTCCCCTAATCGGCAGAGCGTCCTTTTAAGGAGATAAAATTGTGAAAAAAAAACATAGAAAATCTGCCTTTCAAACGTCAAAAATGCTTTAGGGGGCAAGGCTTTGCTCCGTATCCCACCCAGATCTCTGCCGAACCCATCCCAAGGTAGTAGGATAGAAGAGCCACGGGCCCAGGTCTCTTCGTTACTCCACTGCCCAAAAGGAACCGTCAAGTCTTCCCTAAGTGTTGGTGGAGATGAAAACAATTCTCTGATGAGGATGGTGGTCACCCCACCCTCTGTCACCTCACCCCAAACCCCGACATCACAATAGTATAACCGTATGTTCATATGTCCATTGCAAGTCACGTGGTATTTAATCAATACTGGTGCATGGTAATAAGCTTTGTATTAAGTAGCCTACTATGATCATGTTTAAATTTACGTCTTTAACTAAAATTCAATTGGAATGTGTCGCTAATATATTGAACAGTTTCACTCATATGGAAAAGAATTTTTTCAAAATCATGCATATTACGCCGCATATTGATAAACCGTGATTGTAGAAACTTGGAACTTAGCATAGCGATAATTATTTAACGCTTGACTGGTTCCGCTAAAAGCTTCTGTGGACGGTGCAGTAGTACCAGCAAATAGTAAGCCTGTGCTTTAGCTATATAGAAAATAAAACTAAATGCCAATACGTTTTAACATAAAGAGAGTATTTCTTACCATTTTCTTTGGTGTATCCCCAGGACATGTTTGGAAAGCACGTTGGTCGATTCTTATCAGTCGTCTGCGTTCAACGCCGGAGAAGAACTGAAGTGAGTCAGTGTCCGAGCTGGCTTTTATACCGGCGCATTCGAGTTTACGGCTTCAATTGGATTAGTATTGTAAATTATAAATCCGAGGATCAGGAAATCTGTTCAAAACCCTGAGCGGCCCGTTTATTGAAGGAGTACGCACAAACTGCTGGTTCAGCTATCAGGCAACGGTTATTGCCTAATCGCGAGTTATTTTTAAATCAAAATAGAGGGTAGGTTTTGCTGAACATACACTGACATCATACCGAGAGCTGACCTAGTGATCGGGGGACACGCGCCTAGCAAGCAGTGCGTTATCGATAATAAATGATAATATTTTCGAAATGAAATCATTTACATTTAGATCTAAATTATTGCAACAACGATAGGCTATCATATTGCAACAGACCGTTTGATTATGATTTATGATATGTAATTAAATGTTTGAATTCATCATATCTTTTTGAGCGTGGAGAATTAGGTGATTAGCTTAAGTATTAGCGGTAGATCACCGATCAATGATTGGATGATCCCCATAATAATCAATGTTACAATATGAAAAATATGGCACACTGGGCTGAAAATGTCACCAATGAGGGCTGCCCAACCAAATCGCTGCAGTTCCTTATTACCTGGTCTGCAAGCTAGCTACATCCAGATTGCAAACAAAAGCGAGTGCAAGCATCCAAGGAGGTATAAAAAGCATCAAAACATCAAAACCAGGTAAAATGCAGCATGCTATATCGAGGTTGCAATCAGAGGCAAATACATGTGTGTAGCATTAAAAATTATGACTGGTAAAATGCATAGGCCTATTATTCAGGTCGGCGAAATGATAGGCAATGCATGTGGCGTCATATAATTTAGCATAGCATACAGGCACTGAAATGCACTAGGTCGCATGCAAGAGCGAGTAGGCTTATTATATATCATTTATTGCCATAAAGGCAAGTCATATGACATTTACAAGCATCAATGCAAAAATATTTATATATAATCGTATATAAGTGTAAAAATATTTGTATATATAAATAGATGTGTATAAGAGACAGTATATATATATATATCATAGGGCCTATAGCATGTAGATTGCAGCACATGTCACAGAAAATAAGCGAATGAATAGGCCTCAAGCATACACACAAATATGTTTCGAGATGTCGAAGTGATTAATGGGAATGTTAACCCACCATAACAAAAACAATAATCGCTCACGTAGCAGACAATACTCAGGCAATGAAACCGGAAACAAGGTCTGGTGTTATATTAACGCTAATGCTTTATAATGTTTATTTAGGCCTCTAGAAACTGTGGGTCGTGCCTCTTCGAATATCCTTATAACTGCTTATGACGCAATGGAATTGCAGAGTTCAAAAGTGCAAAAATCATGTTTTCGCGTGAATTTATTACTGTTTATTTTCTTTATCCAATGTAATAGCACTAATGTAGAAATAAAAAATTAAGAGTTCTGAGTAGGTGAAGAGTTAGTGAAAAAAATTAAAACATTGAAAAAAAGAGAGAATAAATGTGGGCTACACCCACGAAAGACAAAAAAAAAAAAGAGTTCTGAGTAGGCCTAGCCAATAAAGTGAGAGTATAAACTGACAATTTCATCTTGCCTACTATAGACTAGGCCACGACAATGAAAAAAGAAATTTATGAAAAATGTCTTTCTATAGGCCTAATCGTTAAATTAGACAGCCTTAACTTCTGTAGGCTTCGCCCTGCAGATTTTAAAAGGCCGTCGCAACCGCACCGCGGCTTTGACCAGACCACTTTTCCTCAATACTATTACTTTTTAAATTTTTTATGTATTAAAAACCCCAACAGAGTGTCAAAACACCAAAAACCATAAAAATACAATATGATATTCTTAAGAAATATATGTCTAAAGCCTTAAAAATACATGCAATTACATACAAATCCAATTTCACATATTAAGCATTAGGCATTAACTCAGACTCCAGAGGAAAAAACATGTTTTGGTATGTTGTACAGTAGAACTGATTTTTCTAAGACAGAAAAACGTTGTTTGACAAACAACTGCTAAACGGTGAATGAGATACAGATTTTTGAATATTTAAAAACTAGGGGAAAAGGGGCGTAACCGCCAAATTTTACACCTTTTCCCCCAGTTTTTAAATATTCAAAAATCTGTATCTTATTCACCGTTCCCCAGTTCTTCGTCAAACAACTTTTTTCTGTCTTAGAAAAATCAGATCTACAACATATCAACAATTTTTTTTCCTCCGGAGTCTGACTTTAAAGGTAGAAATATTACAATTAAAAATATCAAATAGGAGAGAATGGCAAATACCAGAGAAGTATACACCCACAAAAAATATATCAATTTTTAAAATGTTTAGAAGTATAATTATAAAATTACAATTAACTATTTATAAAATTGTTGGGGTTGGAGTCACCTGGCACAAAAGCCCGCGGCCCTGATTACTTGCTCTTTTGGTTGTCAGTTGCTATTTTGGTATCACAGATACCATATTTTCATAATTTGTTCACATCAGGCATGAATTCAATATGCATTCTAGTGCTGTCACTGCCCCTTGAGGAGAAGGAGTTACCTATTGGCTCTACAATTGCCAGCTGCTATTTTCGGGCATCTCAAAATTATAATTTTACAAAACAATATTAGGGAATAGCAACCACAATAGCTTTGATTGGATCTGAATATTAATTTAGTCTGATGACCTGGTCGTGGCGTCGGACGAGCGGTGGTGGGGGATGTCCAGATTTGTAACAGGTGTGTGACCCAACAAAATCAACAATTCCAATGCGAAGCGCAAAGTAACGATAACGTCATTAAATCAATTTAACATGCATATACACTACAACCAGAACCATAACATTTTTAGTCCAAGTACGTCAACCGGAGGGTGGCTTGGTCTCTGGAAGTATTACTATTATAAGACTAAATATGGCCCTATATGCCTATATATAAACCCAAATTAGACTATACCAAATCAAAACTGCTGATTTTTCTCAGGCCTTTTATTCCTGAACCCTGATCGAGGGCCTTTTTCCCTTGATTCCAGATTAAACTCATTTCTCTTTAGTCTGTATTACTGTCTATCATTCAAAATCATTACCATCATCATCGTCGACGTCATCGCCATCGCCATCGACATCATCATCATCATCATCATCATCATCATCATCATCATCATCATCATCATCATTATCATCGTCATTATCATCGTCATCATCACTGTCATCGGTATCATCATCCCCTCACCCTTATTATCATCATCATCATCAATTTTTCTGGGAATCCAGGTAAACAATGTTTCCGCGGTATGACCTCGGGGACCCTGTAAAACCAGCCATTCCAACAACTTTGTACACCACCACACTTAAAAAAAAAAGCTGGGTAGCCCTTGCAAGTTAGTGCTCTATATTAGGCAGGCCTATGTCTTTATCACTTGTTAGATCTGTACATTTAATTTCAATTCATTTATTTATTTTCCAGATCATTAGAGTATAATTGCTATAAGGTCTACCACAAGGAAACACAGGATTTAATTAAAACATTTTGACAATTGATCAACAAGTGATAGTGTACAACTCATCTAGAGGGTGATAAATAATTTATTATGTTTCAGGCTGAATTTGGTAAGTGTAAATAAAATTGTACCAGCAGTACCGGTATGTTCACTCTTCGTTATTTGTGTAGGCATAGGAGGCCTACCGGTACTATATTCCCAACGCTAATTCATAGCATATTGTATACTGTGTATTCATAGAATGTTTTAGTTAATTGCATATTGCTAATATTTCATAATACCCTGCACGTCGTGTAAAAATATAATTACAGTATAATCATTGTTATTCGTTGTATTATATCTGTCTCTTATACACATCTAGATGTGTATAAGAGACAGTATATATATATATATATCATAGGGCCTATAGCATGTAGATTGCAGCACATGTCACAGAAAATAAGCGAATGAATAGGCCTCAAGCATACACACAAATATGTTTCGAGATGTCGAAGTGATTAATGGGAATGTTAACCCACCATAACAAAAACAATAATCGCTCACGTAGCAGACAATACTCAGGCAATGAAACCGGAAACAAGGTCTGGTGTTATATTAACGCTAATGCTTTATAATGTTTATTTAGGCCTCTAGAAACTGTGGGTCGTGCCTCTTCGAATATCCTTATAACTGCTTATGACGCAATGGAATTGCAGAGTTCAAAAGTGCAAAAATCATGTTTTCGCGTGAATTTATTACTGTTTATTTTCTTTATCCAATGTAATAGCACTAATGTAGAAATAAAAAATTAAGAGTTCTGAGTAGGTGAAGAGTTAGTGAAAAAAATTAAAACATTGAAAAAAAGAGAGAATAAATGTGGGCTACACCCACGAAAGACAAAAAAAAAAA